TTTTACATTTTTCACCCATAAAAGAATTACTTTAAAAGAATTACTTTATGTAAAAGAATAACTATAACTTTACTCTTTACTTTGTATAAAGGAATTACTTTAAATACTTATATCTTGCACAATTTCTAAAAAAAAAAATTTAATTTTAAAACAATATTTTTGTTATTGATTTTAATTTTCGCCAAAAATTTCGGTTAATTTTACTGAATATTTTCAAAGTTATAGCAAAAAAACGTTCGACAAAAGAAGAACTGTTTTTTTTTATTTAATAAAATTAATAAAATAAGATAAAATAAAAAGTCGATATTTCCATAAATAATTAAGCTAAATTTACAAAATTTTATGCTGTTATTGCAAATAACAATCAAAGTATTCGATACAAGTTACAAGCTTATTGCTTGACTTTCTGGCATAGAGTGTTCAAAAATCCTTTTTTCTTTCGTCAGTCCTTCAAACATTTGAGAGCTTCAAACTTTATTGCTAAATATGAAAAATCGCATAAACTAATCACCTCTAAAGTTACAAAATAATCCCTTAAATATTTCTTGAGAAATTTTTAAAAGAAATGTAAAAAGCTGAAGGGTAGTAGTGTATGTTGCATTGTAGGGTAGTGTATATTTTCAGTACTACCGTGACTTGAGGCGGGGGGAGGGAAAGTTTAATTAAAGTTATGGCTGAAGCGATTAGTTAGTCCTAGTTTTGATGAAAACATTTTCCTACCACTTCTTTAAATTTCAATCTATAAAAGCCGAATTATGGTTAAGCTGTCCGCATACAATGTGGAAGGACTATAAGATATGTATTGATAGCTTGAAGATAGAAAATGTACAGGTTATGAGTCTTTGTCAAGTAGAAGAACAAATAGCACAATTCAGAGAAGGACAGCACGAAAACACATCCCGGGTTACGGCGGGGTTTAAACCCGCTACCCACGAAAAAAAGTGTCGGTCGGCATCGTGTGTGGGTGAGCGTTGAAAGGGCGCTTATTTATTTAATTATGCTTATGTCTTGTTTCTTTGCCTTTCAAGCAGGGGCGTGCTTAGAGTTTCAGAGACCCTGGGCGAAACAGTGAGACATTTTATCATGGTTAATAAAATTTATGTTTTGTTTAACAAAGTATGCATTAGAAATTTTTTTTTTTCGATCAGATATATTAAATATAATTTTTGCGTTTAACGATCAAATTTCTGGCAAAATTTATAAATACTCAATAATAATAATAACAACACTGTAACTAAAATTCTTAATACCAGTAGTAATAAAAAGGTTAATATTATTATCTTATCAAACTAAAATCATTGATGAATTGCAAAGGAAGAGAACCAACAATTGAATTACCTTTTATTGAATAACCAACGAATTAAAAGGAATTAATTAAGAACAGAAACATCTTTAAAAATGAATTAGTCTTTGGAGAGCAAGTCTTTATTCTTTATTTACAAAGTATATACCCTAACGACATAATTAATAAGTTTAAAATTACTTGTATTAAAATAAATGTGCATATAATTATATGGGTATAATTGAAATCTATTCATTGATAACAAAGCAGCAAATTATTTTACATACTACAATGAGCACATTAAAATATGAAAATAATATGAAATGTATAATGAAAAATTATAAATTAAAAGTTGCATTCTATATTTGAGCTCTTGAATCAAAAAAAATTAACAATAAATATTGTTTTTATTACCACGCTATTTGGTAGTAAATGCTGTAAAATTAGGTAATTTTAAGCAAAAATTGGCAATTTTAACAGTATTAGTTTGAGATGACGCAAAAATGTTCATTTTGATGACCTCTATTTTATTTAGCAAGTACTTTTTATCTTTATTTCTTGTCGGTTATTTTTTTCCCTGTGTAAGCTCTAAGTTAACATCAACGAACATTTAAAATTATAAAAAAAAGCGTGCACTTGTAAATGTACAATTGCCTGGAAAAGGTTGAACTAAATCTGTACAGTAAACTAGATAAATACTACATTAGGGTAAATAAAATTACTACATCGTTGCTGTCCTAACATCCTGAAATGGAAGCGTATAGGTAGCGGGTTCAAATCCCACAGTATCTGGATCCGCACCTCAGATACAGCTATTTATTTATATTTATTTATTTATTGTCATGCATACACACGCAGGCCGGTGTGCTTATTACAAAGTTCGGTTATTATCTCCTAGTCAAGTCAATATGCAGATAGCACAAAATAAAGAGAAACAACACACACATACAGCCTGGGACACAGGATTCGAACTAGCCACCTCCATATTGGAATGAATGCATCTTTGCAATGTTTTTCTCATAACAATAGTCCCGCAGTGGACTGATCGTTAAGACACGGTTCCCCGCAGATCACCGAAGTCAAGCGTCACTGGCTGCTGTCAGTGTGCGGGTGGGAAACCACTTGGATCAGTCTGCATAGGGACCGAGGGTGTGGAATATTGGTCTTCGTTAAACTGTTATACCGTAAAGTGCTCGACTTCGCGTGCAGGTCTTCGGGCTACCGAAGCGGGGGTGCCATCCCCTTTGCAGAGGATCAAAATTGTGATGCTATGTCTTCGGATTATCCTCAGGAATGTTTCCCAGACCGTCGCCAATAGCCCATTGTGCAGCTCTAGTGCGACGTAAATGAACTACTACTACAACAATCTTATAACAATAAATAAGAACGAATAAATTCTTGGAATAGTAATGATTTTTTTAAAATTATTTTTACACTAGCCTCATCTTTCCATCAAACGCCATTTAAAATGGGGGTAGCTGGTTCGAACCAAAGCGTAACCATGGATGTGTAACAATAAATAAATGAATTTGGTACAGATACATATGCAGGGTCGAGTGAGTAATTTAAATAACTCCTTGTATCTTGTCAAATTGCAGAACAGATATCATTAAAAAAAAGAGAGATAAACAGTTTAAAAATGTTGAACCCTCTAACTTTCCGCTTCTGAATGTTTGGCAGAAGGACAACAACCTGTGGCAATGGAGACCCTAATTGCATACGTTTGTTATACTTGAACTTTACCGTGCAGTATTCCGCTAACAGCTTTGAAGTATATATGTAGTATGTTTGAATTCTGTTGTAACATTCAATGTATATTCTTGCTGTCTTTCACAAAATTGAGCAATCTGTTTTTCAACTGATCATAAAGACATGGTTCCCAGCAGAACACCGAAGTCAAGCATTACTGGCTGCTGTCAGTAAGCAGATGGCTGACCACTTTGATCAGCCTGCGTAGAGTCCGAGGGTGTGCGGTATTGGTCCTCGTTAAACTGTCTACCGTAAGGGGCAGGTCGTCCGGCTACCAAAGTAATGAAGCCACCCCTTCTGCAGAGGATCAAAATTACGATGGCATGTCTTCGGATCATCCTCAGGGATGCTTCCCAGACCATCGCCAATAGCCCATTGTGCAGCTCTAGTGCGACGCAAATAAAGTAGCTACCTACCTCAAACTGAAACGAGTTTTTAAGCCGTTATTTGTATTTAGAACGAAACTCACTTATGTACGTAAATAAATAAATCCCACTACCTCATAAAAGATGAACAAAACAGTCACTATAGTCTTATATATTTTAATTTAGTCCTTTAAAACACTTAGAACTTTGGTTTATTTCACCAGAAATGTCCTACCATACAACTATGGTGATTTTGTTAGAATTTTTTCCTCAGTATATGAATAAAAGATTTATTATCAATAAATTTGTTATCAATGACTTATCATTGCAGACTTAAGTATAATACATTAGTTAATGCAGTACTGTATAATATTTTTTAGATAAATCTATGATTTAAATAAATCATGCTAACCCTGCTTTCAATTTTTCTAGACATGCTTTGTATATTTATGCTACGTATTTTTCTAGACTTTATTTTCAGTGTAGTTCTTAGGGGTCACTCACCCCTAAAAGTTGAAATTTGACAAAATGTTCCATGCTGTTATTGTAAAGATTACACTCTTGATTTAAAGGAACATTAACTGAAATGAAATTAGACTCATTCAGAAATATATAAATTATAATAACTCGTATATATATCCAAAGAATAGTAAAACTTTATCCAAGATTTAACTAATATAAAGAAACTTGTAATATAACTATCAATCAGTCCTGAATTTTGGGCCGCCGTGGGTTATCTTCCATGTTTCGAAGATTTTGAAACATAATAGAAGAGGGTACTGAATACGATCTTATATTTCCTTCTTCATTTGGCTCATCATGTAACTCGGAAGCGAAATAAGTGAATGGTTGGGTGAATAAAGTATCATTCTATTGTGCTATGAATGAACTTGCACTATCGGACATTTTTTATAGCGGATTTTTTAAAAAACCAGAAGATTTATGTATTTTATTTATGTTATACAAACCAGTTATAGTTTTTGTAATATAATCATATAGCTCTCGGCCACTCCGGTCCGGCACCAAAAGTGGGAACTTAAACTGTCGCTTGTAACCTTTATCTAAAATCAGTAGACTGTATAATAAGAGTAGCCTCTAAGATTTCTCTTTTATGCACAACAAAAAAAAAAATGAATATTCACTATTTCTTTTAAATATATAATTATAGCAGTTAAGGAGAAGAAAACACTCATAGAATATATTTGATATTTTGTTTTCAAAACTGAGACGGGAGAGACTGCTTTGAGTTATGGTCTTTTAGTTCATATATTTCTATACATAGCAGTTTCTAACCTATTTTCAGAATAATTCTTTATAGAAAAGTCAAATGTCCGAAACTAACAAACACCCCTATTTTTAATATTTTTTAATTATTTATATTTTTATTATTTGCTTTTTCATTTCTTACAACGTAGCAGAATGATTGTGTCCAAATAATACAGCGGCATAAATAAAACTGATAATTATTCGAAGTTCCAAATTATCAGAAATTATCTTTTAACTTTTATTCAAAGTGTTATTTAGAAAGAATATTACATATTTTTAAAAGAAAATATAGATGCATGGACAAATATGATTTGCGCATGCGCTGTAAAACAACAAATCAGTTTAGTTTGGAAATGTACAAGATCTCGGCTCTCACGAATCAGTGTGAAGAATCGAAGTATCAACAAAGTCTACTTTAAACAAGATAAATGTATATTTCGTATCTCGTGTTATAGTGGTGGTGTGCTACGTAGTTTGGATAGCATTTGCGATTCATTTTCTTTACCGTGTCGTTTTTATATTAAATGTCATTGCATGAAGCCAATAAAAAAATTTGTTTGTGTTTTGATTTAGTTAGAATCACATTGTTTAAGTTTTAATTTGTTAACTTTGTCCGAACCTAAAAAAGCACGTTTCGCCATATGGCTATATCGATAAGAAGCTTATAAAACAGAGCAATTTTATATTTGTTCTCACGGTAAGTACAATAATTTTCTTATTTATAAATATTTTGACTGACATATTCTGTTTAAATTCCCCAGAAGTATTCTAGTAAGCCTTGATGTTGCTTATATTATAATAGGAAGTTGAACACTCGGTAACAGGGTTTGTTGTTTGTGATAAATAGTTCTAACTTCTAGCTCGTATCTTATTGTATCAGTCTATGATAAAAATATTGACTATTCATTGGGAATATTTCATGTTTCCATATTATAATATTTTCCTTGACATGTGTTTGTTGTGTTGTGTTATGGTGGACTACGTAGCTAGCGTATAATTGACTTGTTTTTGTTATGAAAAATCTATATTTTTTGCCACTAATTATTATTATAAGCCTACAAATTATTATTAAATAGTAGCCGTTCTGCATTTTCTTTAACCATTTATAGTTTGTCTATTTTTTAGGAAAAAGCGGCTTGAAGGGTTACTATTCTTTCTGACTTGCTCCGGTAATATTCTCTCTTAGTGTATCAATTTTGAATTATTTTTTGCTTCATTCCACATTAAATACGCAAATATGTTATATGTTTAGATTATCCTGGTGCTTATATAAATTTATATGTATGTTAACAAAAGTTCAGAATTTAATTTTTCTTAGTTCTAGTTAAATGGTGAAAATATTGATATTTAAAAAATGAAGTTTGAAGGACAAATTTTGATTTATTTGTATTTTTTTTTTATTTTTAATATTTTGAATTAGGTTAATAACTAAACTTTCTCTGAAACTTTAATATTTTATATATAAGTTCAATTGACAAATTGATGTAAATATTATAGGAATATGTCTAGAAACTTCATAGAAATTAGTTTGAAAATATTCTAAACACAAAAATACAGCATTGTGTAATGAATTATTTTGCACTAATAATTTAGTTTATGCTATTAAGTGTGATTGAGGTTCAGTTCCAATTCAAGAGATCAATGTTTTGTTTATTGATAAATAATGTTAGCATATAGTATCTTATATAGATTGTGATCCCCATTGTTATTTATACTTTAGTTTGAGATGGAAGAAAACAGGGCAAATAACAGTACTGGCATTTCTTAGCATATGCTGTAAGATCTACTTTTGATGCTTCATATTTAACTAGATTCCAGAATAAAATAGGAAAGAGAATTTTCGTGTTGTATAATATTTTAAATGTATTAGAATGTTTCATTTAGCACTCTTAGGTTAAATAGAGTAAATTTTGCATGAAATGTTATATAGTAAAAGATGATTTAGCTCCTTTTATCCGAAATTGTGTTATACTCCATCGATTGATGTCATCATATTGATATCTATTGATGTTACTAATCAAATCCGTGTGTTTGTTTACTTTTGAGGGCTTTTTCTTTACACTTTTTTGTTGAATGATAAATTTGTCACTAGTGAGCATAATTGTTCGATGCTATGTCATAATGTGTCATATAGCATCATAACACATAGAACTGGCATTTATTTAAAAGTTTAGAGATAATCATATGAGTTTACATTTGTTAGATTATGTTAACATGGGCATTTTACAAGTCAAAATGGGTTTAATCAAGATTGGCATTTTGCCTGGAAGAAATAAATATTTTCCAGGACATTCGAAGAAGCTGGACTAAATGGAAGAAACTGAATCTGACCAATACAATTATTTAACAATAACTAATAAATAACCAGTTCAAATTTAAAACAAGTAAAAATTAATGTAACAAAATAAAGTAAAAAATATTTAAAAAGTAATTATTTTCATATTTATTTCAATTTTATAAAGAATAAGCTATTATAATAATTTATTTTGATTAATGTTATTCTTATTTTTCTAAATAAATGTCTGCACTTATTTTACTAAGTAGATATAAAATAGATGCATACACTTATATCTTAATAGATTATGAGTTGAGTGCATATATTATTTTTAGTTAAATGAATATTCTGTTCAGAAGAATAAAATTTTTATGAAAAATAAAGATAAAAAATTATTTCCAATAGTTATTATTTTGTTAAAATTCTTAAATTTGTGAAGTTTTCATTTTTTTAAGGTCAATGTATTTAGTAATTTTAAATATTTTTATTTTTAAGAATTTTTTTTTTTTTTAAGAAGACTTATTTAACAATGAAATAAAAACTAGTATTTCTTCCTAGATTTATAATACTAATAAATGTAAAGCAAAATACTTTATAGTTTGTCTGAGGTAAAATCCCCCTCCACAATGCCTAATGCAGTCTGCTGCTAAGGAACAAGAGTGCATTTCAGGGAGGGAAGCTTCTCTTCACTCTGGGGCTAACACAATAGACCGGAAAAAAGGATTCCCTTTCTCTCTTCGACCTGAGTCAAAACTTGTCCTAAACAGTAACCCGTACCTGAAATAGTTATACTTCGTTACCATAGTCACCGCCACGGGTCCAGGCGAACGGCTAGGAGAATTCTTAAGGCAAACTAAAACACAATTAAATGTTTTGTTATATATTTTCTTTAGCTTTAATATTTATGTTTAATAACTTGGAAGTTGTATTTTTTAAAATAAATGCTTTTCTTACTCTGTCTTATAGATGAAAAAAAAATATCTATTATTAAGTAAAAAAATATCTATTGTTAAATAAAAGAAAGTTTTCTTATAGGTTAACTTGCCTTAGTTAACTAAAGAATGTTTTGTGTGATAAAATATATAAATAAAACTGAACAGTAAATGATTGAACTAGGAGAAGCAAGCTTAATTTAGCATGGGCTTTCTAATTGTGAATTAACAAGATTTAGTTCCTGCAGTTTTTTTATAATTTTTGTATTGAAATCGAAATAAGTATCAGATGTTTATGATTGTTATATGCAAGATCATGTTCTGGGATTAGACTCCTTTTTAAAGAATAAGACCTAAATATGATTTATTTATTTGTTAAGTGGTTAGTTTTCCATATGCTTTGCAATATATTTCTTTTCAGTTAATGTGTCATATTTGATTCAATTTAGTTAATTTCTGTTTTTATACTTAATTTAATTATAATCAAACCTATTCATCTCGAATCTCACAGAAAAGGCAAAAAATTTGAGATAAAGAGGTTTCGAGTTATACAGGTACTTTAAAAAATTAAATTTAATTACGAAATTCAATTAAAAGTGCTTGAATTGTTTTTAGTAGAAAAAATAGGCATTTCTTTAAATTAAGTATACCACATTGTACATCTATTTACATAAAAAAAAAAAATTTAACATACATTTAACACTGAAAATAAATTTTCAAAGATTTTTGAAGTAAAACCTTATTTGTTTCGATTATTCTCGTAAGATTAGAAAGAGCGCAAATCCCCCATGGCCAACAATTTACTGTAATTTAAGAATTACTCAACAGTTTCTTCTTCTTTACTGATGCCTACAACCTCTCGTTCATCATCTTCACAGCTTTTCTAAAAACCAGCTTTATTAAAACCATTTTGGATAGTTCTTAGAGACAAGTTTCTCCAGGCAAAACAGTAATTCTGATAGCATCTAACATCTTTATTTTTGGAAGAGAACTTTTTTCGTCTATGGCATCTACAAGTTTGTGTACCAACAGTTCACTTTAAAACTCTTAATTCTCCTTTGATCCATTGGTTGCAATTTTGAGGTCAAAATGAATTTCGATTCTTAGCTTTCTTATCTATGTTGAAAAGCCAACCCTTGATGAGCACTACTCATTTATCCCTCACTTACTGCCAGAATCCATTGACAACAGAATTACTCCTGAAATAAAAAACACTCTATCTGGCAAATAGGGCAGTCTATGGGCTGAGAATATTTATTAAATCTAGGTTTCTTTCTAGGGAAACAAAGTTCTTAATCTACAAAACTCTTGTCCGGCCAGTTTTGACAAACACTTCTTAGGCTTGAACACTGACAAAACAGGAGGAAAATTGTATCGCAACATTTGAGAGAAAGATTTTGCGGAGTATACTTGGTGGTGTAAATGAAAACAATAACTGGAGAAGGAGATTTAACTTTGAACTGCACAAGATTTATAAACAACCTGATATTATTAAATACATAAAAATTAATAGAATGAATTGGATGGCCCACATGATTCGAATGAGTGATGACAATACAATAAAAAAATGCTGCTTTTTAGACTTATTGGAATAAGAAAGTGGGGAAGGCCGCGGTTGAGATGAGCTGACTCAGTGGAGTCTGATTTTCTTGCAATTAATGAAAAGAATTGGAGATCAAAGGTGAATCAGAAGTCGTCATGGAGAAATCTTCAGAGGAGGGCATTGGCTCACCTTGGGCTGTCTGGCCAACTATGATGATTATGATAACTGCCAGAAGTTCTACTGATAAAGAAAGTTTTGACATTTGGACTCTATTATTTGAAATTCGAGAAACAGAAGTGTTGAAGAAAACAAATTTGACATAAACCTGGAAAATACATTGATTTTAGACAGTAAATTTAGGGAATTTTAGAAATTTTGAGATATAGAGGTTTTCGAGATAAAGATGTTCGAGATAAACAAGTTCAACTGTATTATGTAATCTTACCTTATTTTTTAGTTTAAGATTTAGTCTTAAAGCAATTTTTTGATAGAAAACTAAGATGTTAGTAAAAATAATTAACTCCAAACAAGTGAAAAATATTAAATTCATGCTGAGTTTTCTATTGAAAGTACTTTTCATTACATTCCTTATTACGGATTTTGAGCTTTTGATTCTTATTTTTGATTGAAGGAAAATTTAAAAAAGATTCTGTATTTTAAAAAAAAACCACTCTGTTTGTCGAAGAGTAATAAAAGGAATAGTTCAATTAAAGTAATTATGTTTAGTAAAATGGATTTTATAATTTTAAGCATGTAAAAAATATTCATTTAATTACACATTTTAATAATATATAAATAGAATAAATTAGGAGTGCATTTAAGAGAATCTGTGAAAAAAAAATTGGAAAACTATATCTTTGATCACCATATCAACCTGTATCACAGAATAATATAATTCCGATATAAGAACTAAGCTGTTTTATTAAAAGGCCATTATGTTAGTTTTAACTTTAAATCTAATTAAAATTTCAATGTTTTCAACAAATTTTCTCTCTCGTTTCTCAGAAGGAAAAGAACAATTAGGAAGGAATGTTTTAAAAAGCATTATTACTTTACTTAGAGATAATATTTTGCATGAAGTGGTAGAAGATTGTAACTTTCCAGAACTCGGTAACTGGATTAGTTAATTATCCCTATCAAAATTCAGCTTATAAAAAATTTTATGAAAATTCGGTTGTTTAGATTAAAATAATTATTTTGATTTTAGCAAAAATTCAGGCATTTAAATTGCCTGTTTTTAAGGGTTAATTCATCTATAAAAAGTCTGCTTGTCCAGATGTATTCAATTCAGCTGTTTTAAAGAAAGATTTTCAAATTAGCAATTTGTGAAAAACCTAGTTATCAAATTCAGATAAAATCGTTGAAATTTGAAAAAACTGTTGGAAAATGGCTGAGAAAAATTGTCATAAACGCAACCTA